ATGTCCCCAGTGTCCCCAATGTCCCCAGTGTCCCCCATGTCCCCAGGGTCCCCCCCATGTCCCCAGTGTCCCCAATGTCCCCCATGTCCCCAGGGTCCCCCCAATGTCCCAGGGCCACCCCGTTGTCCCCATATCCCCAGTGTCCCCAGGGTCCCCCCGATGTCCCCAGTGTCCCCCATGTCCCCAGGGTCCCCCCCATGTCCCCAGTGTCCCCAATGTCCCCAGCGCAGCGCAGCCGTTCCCGTCACCAGCTCTTTATTGGGGTCACGGGGTCGGGGGGGGGGACACACCTCCCTGTTCTGGGGGGTCCCTGCGCCCCCCACCCCCAAAACCCCCAAGTTGGGGTGCGGGGAGGGTCCCGGGGGTCCCAGCCCCGCCGTGGGGCTCCTCTTCGGCCTCGATCAGGGTCGGACGGGGGCACCCCAAAAGTGCCCTACATGAGGAGGCACTGCTCCCCCGACAGCCCCCCCGGCAGCTCCAGGCCTGCGGGCTGCGGGACGAGGGTCACCCCAAAACCACGGGGGCACCCCAAAATGGGGCACCCCAAAAGTGCCCTACATGAGGCGGCACTGCTCCCCCGACAGCCCCCCCGGCAGCTCCAGGCCTGCGGGCTGTGGGACCAGAGTCACCCCAAAACCATGGGGACACCCCAAAATGGGGCACCCCAAAAACGGGCACCCCAAAAGTGCCCTACATGAGGCGGCACTGCTCCCCCGACAGCCCCCCCGGCAGCTCCAGGCCTGCGGGCTGCGGGACGAGGGTCACCCCAAAACCACGGGGACACCCCAAAACGGGGTACTCCAAAGCCATGGGGTCACCCCAAAACCGGGTCACCCCAAAAACGGGGAACCCCAAAGCCAGGGGGTCATCCCAAAGCCATGGGGCACCCCAAAAACTGTGGCACCCCAAAGCCGGGGGGCACCCCAAATTAATTACATCACCCCAAATGTGTGGGGTCAACCCAATTCTATCACTCCAATTCTATGAGGTCACCCCAAAACCTTTGGGGTCCCCTGAATCTATAGAACCACCCCAAACCCTTTGGGGTCCCCCAAATCTATGCGGTCACCCCAAACCCTTTGAGGGGTGTTCCCACACACTCACCGTGTCCCCTGCCAGCTCCTTGGGGGGGTGGCCCAGGTCCTGCAGCTGTGAGGGGACACAAGGAGGGGACACGGGGACATGGGGGGGACAGAGGGACATGGGGGGACAGAGGGACATGGGGGGGATAGAGGGACACGGGGGGACAGAGGGACACGGGGGGACAGAGGGACACGGGGGGACACGGGGGGATGGAGGGACACGGGGGGATACAGGGACACGGAGGGACAGAGGGACAGGGAGGGATGGAGGGACAGAGGGGGACAGAGGGACAGGGAGGGATGGAGGGACACGGAGGGACA